AGTTGCCAGAGCCGCCACTAGTAGGAGGTTCTACCATAACCTTTCTGATCTTTATTTTGATTATTTTGTTTATTCATTTTGGGTAGGGGAAGAAAGGAGGTGGGCGCTTTGTGTTCTTGTTTAGGAACCCGCTACGTATGTTATATTGAGCTCCCTCAATGATATCTTAAAATCAGCAGTCAATATCTATGTTTATCCAGTGGTTGTATGTTAAGTAACTACATCTACTTGTGTGTCTGATCGTTCCTCGAAGGAAATGCAATTCTTATTTTCCTTATATTACAGAGTACTAGAATATTTTCTCCATGTTTTTTGGTGGTCTGAAAGTATGGGAAAAGACTCCCATGAATTTTTGAAGTTGAGAAATCATCTGCATTGTTTGTGATAGCTAAAATCCAAGAAGATGAGTTAAGAGAGAGAGTTCTCCAAATTATACATAGGTTCTTCCTGGAGCAAGTACAATTGAAGTGATGTTTATGTTCAGTACATGAGAAGTCAGAGCTCCAAAGTTTATAGTTACTAGTTAGCATGGATGCTGGAAGCACATGTGTCATGTAACTAGAGAACTGTGTATTCGGGTAACATGCTTAATCGTCCAGAATCCCCCCCCCCCCCCCCGTCCATCCCCCTCACTCTCTCTTTCTATGGCTAGCATTTTGCTTCATTAATAGCTGATACACACTATTATTCCAACCTACGCCCTTCATTTTTGTCTATTCCCTTATCTACATTTAGCTTGTTTTTTTAGGAGCCACAGATAGGTAATTCTACAAAATTACTTTCTTTCTACTTTAATATGAATCATCAGTGAAATTAACTCTGGAGGGCTGTGATTTTCAGCTATCTTAACTCTAGTCTCATGTTTAATCTTGTTCTAGAATCCTTTATTTTTCACTTTATTTTGTATGAAAGTTGAGACTGGCTTAGTTGGATACATAAAATTTGTGACCTAATTGCTCAAGCACGCTGTTGTTGTTCTTAGGTTCTGTCCGAAGATGAAAATAATGTGAAAGCACTATTCAGACGTGGGAAGGCGAGAGCAGAACTTGGGCAGACAGATTCTGCTCGGGAGGACTTTGAAAAGGCCAGAAAACATGCTCCACAGGACAAAGCTATTGTAAAGGAGCTAAGACTACTTGCTGAACATGATAAAGCTGTTTATCAGAAGCAGAAAGAGTTGTATAAAGGTATTTTTGGACCTAGGCCTGAGGCAAAACCGCAATCTGATCAAAAAAATCGGCTTATTATCTTCTGGCATTGGCTGGTTTCTCTGTTTTGTCGCCTGTTCAAGCTCCAAAGGCATAAAGAAGACTAAACTGATAGTGTTCGGTGGTGAGTGCTAATCTATACAGATATACTAAATACATCTTAAGAAAATGTGTTGGCACTGAGATAATGTTTGGTTTCTGATTAACTACTGAATGATTAGAACTATCTCAGTTTTGTCTTTTCTTTTGCTTTACAGCTTAAGTAATTTATCTAAGTTCCATTCTAGAAAAGCATTAATTCGAGGTAAGAAATTTAGTCTTCAAAAAGAAAAGAAAGTTATGGACATAAATTTTTTTTTTGGGTTGATGAATTAAGTTATCTTCTGTTGTGACTATTGCGAAAGGGATTATTTAGTTTTACTGCTGAAGATGGTGGATTGGTGGGTGATAGATGTTTTTTTATGTTTCAACCTCTTGATGAAATCAGCAACCTTTCTCATTATTTTGCTTTAAAATGTTTGTCTTTAACTTGTTATCAATCACACCTGAGCCCTATAACTTTTGTTATGTCAGGGAACTTTGGTGTTAATTGGCCGGCTACAAGAGCATCAGATTTGTTATTTCTTTCTGGCTCTAGGAGGATGTCGAGTTTGATGCATGTATCAATATTAGAAACAGTGTTGAAAGCCTATAAGAACTCGATCGGTAAAATTATCTATAACTGACAAGATTTTAATTCAGTCCTGCATTTCTCACTGCAATATTTGTGACTGATCAGAGATGACATTATGCTAGTTCCTTTTTGATTGGATATTTCATCCTGGCCTCTAAAATTTTGTTGGTGAACTTTTCGTTGTTTCTAGTTCTTTACCATGTGTTAAAAATTTTGTTTGCTTTGTGTCTTTTTTGTATTTGAAATTGCAAGACTGCATATGGTGTTCTTTGTCATCTAAAGAGGTCGATGTTTAGAACAATTCAAAATGTCAAAGTGTTTACTGCTGAATCTAAAATGACATTGCTTTATTTCCCTCCCTAAGTTTATGCTATGTCTTCATTGTACAATTTATCCTTCATTATTTGAAGTATAAGGGAAATGGCTTATCATGACCCTCTGACTGTCTGGCTTTATCAATAGAGGATTAGGAGAAGAGTCCTGCTACAGGGACCCAAATAGGGGACCCTGTAGTGGGACAGGTGAGGTGTCGGCCTGGGAGGCTCCCAGGCTGTACACGCTCACACTGTCCCACTACAGTCCCTATTTGGGTCCCTGCTAGCAGCGACTCTTTTCTCCGTAAAGAAAAATGCCCCTCAGTGCGACCCCAAATAGTCGGGACCCTGGGCGTTGGGCGGCAGCGTGACGCTGTCAGCCTGAGCAGCGCACTGCTGATGCAGCTGCTTTCAATCACAGCCTCCCAGGCCCTGCACACGACTCACCTGTCCCACTTACAGCGTCCCCTATTGGCCGTCCCTGTAGCATGGACTTCTTTCTCCTAAGAAAAATGCCCCCAGCGCGACCCCAAAATAGTCGGGAACCCTGGCCGGTGCGGGACATGTGAGGGTGTTCAGCCCCTGGTCGCAGGCTGCTGCCATTGCACTGTCGCTGCATCCACTGCCCCAGGGACCCCAAATAGGGGACCCTGGGGTGGGACAGGTGAGGTGTCAGCCTGGGAGGCTGTGATGCACTGTTCATGAACAGTGCATCACAGCCTCCCAGGCTGACACCTCACCTGTCCCACCCCAGGGTCCCCTATTTGGGGTCCCTGGGGCATTTTTCTTAGGAGAAAGATGACTTTATGTGTGACACGATATAATTGATTTCTTGAGTGGGCAACTACTGTTACATGAAAATGCTTGGTATGTGTGGTTGCTTTTGCTTTCTTTCTTTTTGATGAAAAATGAACAGCAAGTGTTACCTTATCCATGGTAGTGTGATTACCTTGCCTTATTCATGCATTGTGGAAACATGATCCAACTTGTTGACATGATATCTTTTCTGAGTCATCCAAGTTACTATTGCGTTCTAACTAAACGTCAAGTTTGTTGGCCTTTATGACAAAATAAAATAGTTAAATTAGATGGACTTTGGTTTAAAATAAATAAATAAGTCACAGATATATACTAGAGGCATCATAATCCAACTGTTAATTTTCATGCGTTGAAGTACCGTGCAGCTCAATTTAAGTTCCTAGCCAATAATGGCGCGTTCTACTCGCTTACAAACGTTCCTTGCTTCTATAAGCTACAATGAATAGGCTTGTTTTGCTGTCCCTCTAGAATCTATGGATGTGGAAGTTGAGAATCTCATGCTCGTTTCTTGCTTCCAAGCTCCATGATTCACTGCTGAAGAACCTGGCTTCTTCTCTTCCTCTTTGGCAACATGAACCATCAAGGCTATTGCCTTTCGTAATCTCTTCCGCCGCGATCATCTTGAAATCTGCGTCATTCAACCATTTCCTTTCTGATCCTTCGATTTGAGCTAAATCCTTCTTCATCTGTTGCTTCTCTCTCTCCATCTCCCTCTTCTCTGCTGCTTTCTTTTTGATTTTGTTAAAAGTGTACAATTTGCAGGGCTATCTTGTGGTTCTTAAGTCTCCTTCACTTATAGGGGAAGCTTGATTATCCATCTTATCCTCATTGGATAGGACTAGGAGCTTCTTTTCTGTCTTTTTGTGGTTCTTAAATTTGCTGTTCCTGCATGCTTCGGCATCAGGTGTGCTTCTTGGCTTGCCTTATCTTTTCAGTTCTTTTGAGTTCTGTTTAGATAAGGTCTTGACTGAAAGGCTGCTTGTTTTCTGTTGTGGTACTTTCAATCCCTGGGTTATTAGTTTGCTAACAAGTGTGATGTATTTGGAATCATGTAGTCTGCTCTTAAGAACATTTTAATGTAGAATTTTCCTGAAACTAGTCGTCTAACCTAACTTTTCACAATGAT